CCCCCGTTCCCTCCCCCGAGCCCTCGCCCGAGCCCGCCCCCGTGCCCGCCCCCGTGGGCCGTCTTCTGCATGGAGCCTGCGTGTTGGGTCACCTGGGACGTGTCCCTGAACACCTGGGAGCCTCAGGTTCCTCCTGGGTGGGGGGCGGGTGCTGCTGAAGCTGGGGCTGGACGTCCCCTGGGGAGGCAGAGGGAGGGGGAGGGGGAGGGGGAGACCGTGCAGCCTGCACAGACCTAGAGCTCAGCCTTCCTTGAAAGCAGCCCTGGACCTTGAAGCTGGGGCTCCAAGGCCAAACGGGGAGCATTTAGGATTGGGACAAAAGCAGGTGCCGAGTGTCCTTTGGAGGAGGCCAGGTGCTGGGGTGGGCACGGCTGCTTTTCAGAAATCTCGGTCTTAGAGGAGCCTGGTGGCTGGGTGGTCAGGGAGGGCTTCCTGTAGGAAGAGGCCTTTGGCAGCTCCTGGAGAACGGGGCGAGAAGCCTGGAGCCCACCTCCCCGCGTCAAGAGCCTGTTGTGACAGCTGGTATCTGCTGGGGCGTGAGCCGTCCAGGCCTGCCAAGGACATTCTGAGTCCACACGTACCTTGGGGCAGGACGGGGGCTCAGGGAGGAGGAGGGTCTGTTGGAATTGGGGTGGGGGCCTGAGCCCAGGTTGTCCAGCGTGAGCAGCTGCCCTTCGCTCCCAGGACGAAGCAGCCTCGGTCCAGTCCACAGTGCCCCGCGGGGTGTCCCACCTCCTTGCTGGGCTCCTGTGGACGTGGCCAGTCTCTGGTGGCCACGTCTTGGTTTCTAATCCGGCACTGGGACACCCTCGAGGGGCCCACGTTAGAGGGCGAGCTCCGGGGCCCCCTGATCTTTAGGCTCCAAATCAAAGGCTTCGCCTCTGCGCTGGCGCCTCCCTCCGGCTGGGTCTGGTGACCGTGGAGCCTGCTCTGGGGCTGCAGGGCACGTGGGCAGAGGCCTGTTGATGTGGGTGGGGTGCGGTGGGCACGGGTGTTCAGGACCATGGGGTCAGCTCTAACTCACAGAGAAAGCGGGGCGTGGTGGCACACGCCTGTAATGGCCCAGGACGGTCACAGGCTCAAGGCCAGCCTCAGCACGAGGCCCTAAGCAACTTAGTGAGACTCTGTAAATAAAAATAAATACATAGACCCAAGGGCTGCGGAGGGGCTCAGTGGTTAGACCTCCCTGGGCTCAGTCCCTGGGACCAAAACAAAGAGCACGTGTCCACTGGGGGCAAACGCAGCAGGGCCCTGCCCACGCCCCAGCAGCCCCTACCCTGCCCTGGAGACAGGGGAAACCTCTGGCTTGGGAGGGGCCGGACTCCCCTGCCCTCTGAGCCCCGGGCAGTCCTCCCGCCGCCCAGCCTGAGCTGTCAGAGACCAGGACAGCCCCTGAGGAGCCCTGGTGGCTGGAGCTGCCACCTATGGCCTTGAGTTGGGGAACTGAGGTCCAGAGACCGTGGTGCATCTGCCCTGAGCCACACAGCGGGTGCAGGATTCAAGCCCAGGCCTGCAGGCTGACCCCTGCCCAGGGGCTGGCCAGTGTGCCCTGGGGCCAGGACAGATGACCAAGCAGGGGCGGGCGAGCAGGAGGAGGGAAGGGAGGGGAGGGAAGGGAGGGGAGGGAAGGGGGGAAAGACAGGGGCCCCTGGGGGGAGGCTTGCTCTTGAGCCCCCATCCTTACTTAACCTGAAGCCGGTGGTCTCTGCCTGGGAGTCCAGGGGCCTCGCTGACCCAGGGTGACCCGTCATCTGCCCGCTCCCCCGTGCCTGCCCTCTATGGGATGCCAGGGAGACTGGGGGCCATCGAGCTGCCGTCCTCTGCCCTCCTGAAACCCAGGCTGCTCCTCTCTGGCCACCACCTGTCCCTCACTCGCCCCTGCAGCCCCTGTGTCCTCCTTCCACTGGACTCCTTGGTCTGTCCCCGGGAGTGACCTGGAGGAGCACCCCAGAGAGCCTCCTGCTTGGCGCCCTCTCGACTCCCCACTCGGTCCAGACGGCTCGGGGGATCAGTGAAAGGAGGGGACTTTGTTCGGGTGAAGCAGGGAGGCAGGACTTGCAGGGCCAGAGGGGACCCCGCTCCTGCTCCGAGTCTGACTTGCTGTCCAGGGTGGGCCACCTGCAGCCCACACTCCCGAGGCGCATGTCAAGGGGCCCAGGCACTCCAGAGCAGCCCCTCAGGTCTCGTATGTCCCCGTCCCCTCCTGCCCCTAGGGTGGCGGCCTGGCCCTCCTCTGGGTGCCTCTGGCCTGCATGGGATGCATCCCTGTCCCTCCTGATGCCCAGCCCAGGGCCCGGAGCCTGGTGCCAGCAGAGCGTGTTCCCCTGTGAGGTCCAGACCAGAGGGAGCTGAGGGGCTTGGCCACCGGGGATGGATCCTGCTGGTAAATGCGGGTCCAGAGAGGGTCAGTTACTTGTCAAGATCGCACAGCAATTTGGGGCAAGTCCAGGGGTTGGACCTGGACGTGCCTCACCCCAGGCTGTGTTCTTCCGTCCCTCTGTGTGAGCTCGGCGGGGCTGGGCCTGCAGGCCAGGTGGCCGCTGCTCCCATTAGTGGGAAGAGGGGACTCAGGCGGCGGTGCCCTGTGGCGGAGGCCTGTCTTAGCTTCTTTGATGCTCACACTCGCGAACCCCTGGGGGACGCCTGAGTCATCGCTGAGCCGGCAAACATATTTAGCTCCTTTCATCGTCCCTAATAAATCAATTTCTCCAGGTCTCTCACACCTGCTTCCGAGGCTGGGCTGCCTGTCCCCTGACAGCCGGATGCAGGGCCAGCTGCCAGCTCCGGAAACCGGGCCTCCAGGTGGACAGGCTCCCCCACAGGCGCCTGGCGGTGGCCCCTGGCTTCTCAGAGCCCCTTACTCCGTCCTCCTGCGCCCCAGGAGGAGCCACGTCGCCCCACCTTGCTGAAACGGCCTCCATTCTACCCTGGCGTTGCCATGGCCCCTGCCCGGCTCCCTGCGGGCAGAGCTGGTGGGCGGGGGTCCCAGCGCTGCCCAGGCCACTCAGCCCCTCCTGGACCCGGCCTCCCTCAACCCTGTGCCCTCGGGGCCCACCGGCTTGTGTTTGGGCCCAAGGGGGTCCAGGAAGCGCCTCGCCTGTCCCGCGTCCTCCCGGCCTCGCAGGCTGGAGGGCCGAGGCCCCCACCCGTGTGTCCTTCCTGGAGCCTCTTCCAAGGCCCTCCTGGGTCCCCTCCTCGCTGCCCCTGGGAACCACCCGTCCTCCAGTGCCCTGGGCTGCTTTGGCTCTGCCTGGCAGCCAGCACCCAGTCTGCCTTGGGGCGATGTGACAGAAACACGTGACAGACGGCAGAGGGGCCACCCAACACGGGCCACCCAACCCCGTCCGAGGCACCTGGCCACCTGCGTGTGGGAAGCCATCCCGGTTAGAGACGGGCCCCGGATGCCGCGGAGCTTAGGAAGCCTGCGTCGGGCCCAGGGCAGAGCTGGGCCTTGAACCAGACCCGGGCGCTCACCGCTGCCCTGTGGCCTTCGCGGGAGCAGCTATCGCGACACCTGCCCGTCTGCTCTCACCTGTCCCAGCCGTCCCAGGGCAGGAGTGCGCTGTACCCGTGCCTGAGACCCCGACACCAGAGGCTCCAGGACCGAGTCCTCGGGACCACCCCTCAGGGAGGGACCCCCTCCAGGGAGGGCAGCGGCTGTCTCGGGGGACCCCAGACAGAGGCTCCCCTGGTTCCGGGCCAGGCGGGGGCTGCCCACTGGGAGAAGGGGCTCATGCTAGCCAGTGCCCAGGGGCTCATGGGCTGCTGGAGCCAGAAAACCCTGGGAGACCAGGGGGCCAGGCCCTGCGCCCATCCCTGCCAGGCGCTGGGCTTCCAGGTGGACGGGGCTGGCTGCGCTCATCCACGTGTGGTGGGCGCCCCCTGCTGCCCAGAGCGGGAAGTGGCAGGGTGTCGGCAAGGCGGGCAGAGCTTACCCGGCGGCTGAGGGGACCTGGGGCCGGGCCAGGGAGAGTGCTGTGGCCCTACTGGCGTCTCCCACTGCCCTTCCCTGGCAGCGCCCTCGCCGTTCCCTGTGCCTCCAGACGCCTGAGCCTGCTGATGCTGAGGCCACCAGGGCCTTTGTCTGCTGACTGCAGCCAACCCAGCAGTTATGAGACACCTACTGTGTACCCCGCACTGAGCGTGAGTACAGTCGGGCCCCTGGGAGCTCACAGGCCAGCCAGAGGCAGACATGAGGTGACCTCACTGCATTTCCAGGCCTGGCTACCACAAGCTGGCTCCTCCCTGGAGAAGCCTCTCCCGGTGGCCCCTCTGCCCAGCCGTGCCCGGTTCTCCCCCCTGCCGCGGCGCAGGTCAGCCTGGGCTCGGACTGTGTCCCCCCCTGTGGCTTCTGTAAGGCGAGGGCTTCGTCCGGGTCATCCTTGGATCCCTGGCTCTGTGCAAGGATCCTGGCACATAGTAGGTGCTCAATAAGCACAGGCTGAAGGAAGGCGTGTGCAGGTAGGTCAGCAGCTCAGCTCCTTATGGTCTTCGAGGAGGGGCCCCAGGGGTGGAGTTCAGGGTGGGAGCCAGGATAAGGTGTGGGGTGACCTTGGTGTCCTATGTCCTCTGGGGTCTGCCCAGAGCCCTAGGGCTCAGGACCCAGTGGGCAGGGACTTGGTCTGACACACTGCAGGTGTGCCATAAACACCTCTGAGAGTCCAGGTGGACGAAGGTCACACACCCAGCCTCCCCGTGGCCCCTCGAGTGACCACTGTATCCAGCCTGTGCCTACACCCTGGACACGGGGAGAACACGGCTGCCTGTCAAGGTGACAGAGGTTCTGTCTGTGGTTGGTGCTGCCTGGACGGCAGACCCAGCTCAGCCCAGCCTGGCGGAAGTCCAGTCCATGGGGACTTCTGTCCAGCCCGGTAGCCCTGGTGTCCCGGGGATGCGGTTCCAGGACTGTCTGAGGGCCCACTCCTCCCTGTTTGGGAAAGGGACAGAGGCGAAGGTGGGGTCAGGGATGGCAGAGACGGTCGTGGAAGGACAGAGCCCACTGCGCGCTGGACGGGGACTTTATTCTGTCCTCCGTCCGAGAGACCATCAGATCAGCCACTCGTGCCTGTCCTTTACTGACGGGAGGAGCTGGGGACCAGCGAGGGCAGGAATAGATGAAGGTCGCAGAGTTCACGTGAGCCAGAGGCAGGAGAGGACCTTGACCTCAGCCCCCGGCCAGTGTTCCTTCCACGGACCCCTGAGGCCCTTTCACTGGCCTAATGGGGCGGCGCCACAGGCTGTGATCTGAAGAAGTCCCCACATGTCCTGCCGATGCCCGCAGGGGTGCAACACGGCTGCCAGGTACCTGCCATCTCCAGACAGAGCTCCCACCACCTTCTGTGGCCTCTCCACCTGACCCCTGGACAGCGTGCACCAGGGCGGGGCGGGGGGCGGAGGGCCACGTGGCCACTGCGGCTCCTCCTGGGGAACCCGCGCTCCGCCCGCCCTTGCTGCCCGCTTCCTGCTGCCTTGCCAGGGAGGCTCCCTGCAGGGCTCCCCTGCCCGAGGGTGAGCAGAGCTTCTGGGAAGACTGTCCCCGGATCCTCCTCCAGGCAGAGCCTCCCTGGAGACAGAGTTGTCTGCCTGGGGTTGGTGGCCCTGCTCTCCCATGTGCTGCACTGGGCAGGGCCTGGGGCGCTGGGACCCGCTGCGCCACCCCTCACTACCGTGGCGGTGCTGGCCAGGGTCCAGCAGGGAAACCAAGGGAGACGCTGCCTCTCCACGCATGGACCCCGTGTGCCGCTCCTGGGTTTGGCCGCTGCCTCCAGGAAGTCCTCCTGGGGACCAGGCCTGCAAAGCTCCACCCTGATGGCAGCACCGTCCTGCTGGACTCCTGCCTCCCAGGTGGACAGCCTGGGGTGGAGTCCGCCCTGCTCCCCCAGCAGCCAGGACTGTCACCCAGCTCAGCAGACCAGTGCCACCGGCCCTAGCTGCTCGTGGGCCTGGAACCCGCAGGCCCAGACGTTTCCAGTCCAAACTCTGTGGTTCTGCAGGAACCAGGGAGGGGCCCGGCTTGGCCGAGGGCGCGGGGAGGGCCAGAGGTAGGTCTGGACCGTGGGTCTGGTCTCCTGGGTCCTGTTCGTGGGTCTCAGGCAGCGAGAGCGGGGCCCGACCTGCAGACCTGAGCAGGCGGAGGGCTGGCGAGGGCGGGAGCCCCAGGAGCCTCAGGCTCCCCGCTTGGAGGGCTGCGGAACTTCTGAGAGCAAAGGGCTGAGGACAGGCTGCCCAGGGAGGGCTGGGTGACCGGGTCCAGCTGGCTTCTCTCCGCCCTTCTCCTGGCCCTCACTGCAGTGGGCCTGGGCCAGGGCTCCGGGCTCGCCCCAGAGCTGCGCGTCGGTCTCACAGCCAGGCTCTGTGTCCTCCGTCCTGCCCACCCCTGGCGGGTGGCGGTGTCTGTGGCCTGGAGAGGGCGCCCTGGGGGAGGGGTTCCACAGGTCCAGGGGACCAGGGTGCCGGCCCCGTGCCACCTCCCGGGAGCCTCACTTCCTGCTGGCGATCTTCTTCTTCCGAGCGGAGACCAGGTCGTAGAAGGGGACACGGGTGATGCTGGCCCTGCAGTGAGAGGAGAGAAGGTTCCAGATGGGGTCAGGGGCGGGTGGCCCCGAAAGGACAGAGCCAGGAGGGGCCGGCGTCACTGGCCTTGCCCAGCATCCCGCGGGCCGGCCAGAGAGCCGGGGGCAGAGTCTTGGGAACTTGTCCCACAGCGTCCCCGGGCCTGAGGGCAGCCTGGCTGTGGGCCAGCGGACCTCACCGGCTCACTGCCCTGGACGAGGTCTGTCCTCTGGCCTCGCTTTCCCCATCAGTGAGGTGGAGACGGGCGGGGTCTGCGGGCAGCCTCACGGGCTGCTCCAAGGCCCGAGTCCCGGGACACGGCCGGCCACGCCTGCTCTCTAGCAGAAGCTCCTGCCCTTGCTCATGTCAGGCCCCGAGCAGCTTGTCACCTGGTCCTTCCAGGTGTCCCTTCCCCCCCTTCTCCTCCATCAGTGGCCGCTGGGGCTTCTGTCCCCTGGACTGTGATGACAGCATCCTACCTTGGCTCTTCAGAACCGGCCCCACGTGGTGGGTGTCCTCACCTGGCACACCCCTCCTACCTACTAGTCCCTGGCTCCCTAGTGCCCCTAGAAGAAAGCAAGGCGTGTCGCCGTGGCCACAGTGCCTTTGCCGTCTGCCGCAGCATGCTCACTGCTCCGCCCCCACGCGGCTCAGCCTCACCTGGACTCTGGGGTGCTGTCCTGGGAGGCCACCCACTGATCAGCCCTCAGGCTTTGTCCACCTTGGTCCTTCCTAGAAAGCCCCTCCCAGAGGCTGGTGATCTGGCGGGTCACCCTACAGGCCAGGAGCTGGCCGGTGCTCTCCACACAACTCCCCGTGTTCTCACAGCCCCTGGACGCCCTCCCGTGTCCCAGGGCCTGGCATGGTGCCAGGGAAATGCCCGTGGAACATGGGTGGAGGGGACGGGCACCTCAGGAACAGGAGGAGACCTCGGAGCTGGTCCCTTTGCACACAGGGCCGGAAGGCCCAGAGAACCGGGGCCTGCAACGGGGGCCTCACCGGATGGCCTCGATCCACTGGTCCCGCTCCTCGGCGCTGGAGGCCGAGATGCGGTAGGAGCCGTGCCGGCCCTCCACCACCTTGCCCTCGCCGTCTGTCTTGCAGGCCTTGATCTTCTGGCCGCGGCAGCTGGGGTTATACAGCTCCAGGCAGAACTGGGGGGGCCGGGGAGGGTCAGGGGGGACCCCGGTCGGGCCTCCAGAAGGCCCAGGGAGGCCGAGACCCCCAGGCGAGGCCGAGACCCTCAGGCGAGGCGGGGATCCAACAAGCAGCCCGTGATCCCCACAGGACCCCTGCCACCCCACGGGCAGCTTCCTGCGTCCGGCGGAGGAACGGGGGCTGTCCCTACCCACAGTGATGCCCCAGGCCAACCCAAGCCACTGCCTCCCTGAAGTCCCCACGTGACGGGGAGACGGGGCTCAGGGAAGAGCCAAGCTCCAGTCACCCAGCCACTGGCCTGTGCCCTGGTCCCTGGCCCGGGAGGGAGAGGCTGGCCTCCCGAGAGCCCTGCCTCCTGCCCTGTCCTCCCCAGCAGCGCTGGCCCTGCCCACTGGCCTCTCACCGGCTTCTTGGGGTCCTCCACCTTCTCCACCGAGAGGTTCTCCAGGGGGATGATCCCCCGGGGCTCCTTGTCCTACAGGGAGGGAGGGAGGCCAGGCTGGGCAAATGGAACTGAGGCCAAGTGCAGGGAGGGGGCCGGGGTTCCCCAGGCCCGAAGAGGAGTGGCCGTCGCCCAGGGCTGCCCGCTCCTTGCCCAGGTCCTCCTCCCGGTGCCCTGGTTCCCCATCTGTGAAGTGGGTGTGGCCGCGGACCCCGGATCTCCAAGGGTCCCCTCCCTTCACGGCAGGTTCCTGGGGTTTGGAGGGGCAGGGCCGGGGGCAGGGCTGGGGGCAGGGGCAGGGCCGGGGGCAGGGGCGGGCTGCTGGGCTCACAGTGGTGAACTCGAAGTAGTAGAGGCAGTTGTCCGTCAGGATGAACCAGCGCCGCTTCCAGGTCTTCACGCGGCCCCCTGCAAGAGGCCCGTAGCAGGGGAGGTCAGTCCTCCTCCCTTCCTGGCCACCCGTGTCCCCTCCACCCCAGGGCCGGGCCTTGTGTGTGCCTCCCTGGGACCCACCAGAGGAGGGAGAGTCCCCTCACCCCCCGCCCGCCCCTTGCCATCCGCCCACAGAAGCCTCAGCGGCCCCTGCACCCCGGGCTTGTCCCACACTGGGGCTCCCTGGTGACCAGGCCCCCGGAACAGGGCGGCCCTGCCCTGCCATCGCCCTGGGCTCATGCCCTGGCCTGGTGCCTGCGGTCACTCGGTGGGCACTTCATCTTTTATCTGCCTGCCTGGTTCTAGAGGATTTGGGGACATTTACCTATTGACCCTCCCGGGTGGGACGGGAGCCCTGTTAACCCCGGTTACAGCCGCAGGACCCGCCGTCTGCCCTGGGCCCTGCCAAGGGGCAGAGCTGAGGCCCAGACCCCAGGGGCCCGATTCTAGGCCCAAACACGACTCAGCCTCTCAAGGGGTCACTGTCCCCACTCAACTGCAGAAGCTGAGGCCAGAGCCTGACCGCTGGCCTCTGGTGAAGAGCAGGAGAGTGAGCCCTGGGCGTGTGGCTCCGAGCTGTGCCCCTGCCTGGTCAGGGACCGTGACTGCGAGCTGCCCCCGGCCTGAGAGCAGACGGCGGGGGCTGGACAGAGGACAGACTGGGCTGGGCAACAGGGCTCGGGGGGCGCAGGGGCTGGCACAGGGCTGTGCACCCGTAGACGCTGGGGGCCGCCCTGGCCAAGGGCCTGCTCCAGCACGGGGCCTGCAGCTGCTGCCCCTGCCACGCCCAGCATCCTGGGTCACACTTCACACTCCCTCCCCTTCCTGCAGGGAAGCCCTCTGCCCCCACCAATCTCCACCGGCTGGCGAGGTGGCTGCCTTGGCTACTCAGAAAGGCTGGGCTGCAGAGGGCTGCATTAGGAGGCCTGGACAGACGGCACCTCCCTTAGGACGCTCGCTCCAGCTCTCCAGCAGGGAGGGCCGAACTGTCCACAGATGCCTGGGCCCCCTGGTGCCTTCCAGCGTGGCTCCCCGCCACCAGCCCCTCATTCCCAGGACAGAAGAATGAAGGGAGGGTGGATGGGAGGATGGGAGGATGGATGGGTGGGTGGATATGTGAGTGGACAGATGGATGGGTGGGTGGGGGAATGGATGGGTGGATCAGTGGGTGGATGGATGGGGGGTGCAGGCCGACTGCCAGGCTGGGGCTCGGGAGACCCAGGGCCAAGCCCCCCCAACCCTGGGGCTTGTGAGTGTGTCTGCCGGTTGCCATCCCTGTGGCCACGGTGTGCAGCGGCTGGACCTCTTGGCTCTTACCCAGCTTGAGCAGCCAGCCCTCACGGTCAGGGTTGAAGAAGGTGTGGGTGAGGTCGCCGCCATCGTCCTCAGGGATGGAGAAGGGCTCCCTCTTGATGCTGTCGAAGAGGTTCTGCCAGGAGGGGGAGCGCCCTGGGTGAGCCCCAAGTTCCACCCAGGGCCTGGTGGTCCATGTGACCTCAGCAAGCCACGCCCTTTCCTCTCCTGGTGGCCCGTCCCACCTTTAGGCCCTTCTGGGAGAAACCCTCCCGGTCCCCCAGGCCGTGTCCTTGCCATCCTCCCCAGTGCTACTGCAGGGTGGGGTCAGGGCCTCAGAGGTGTGTGTGACCACCCCCCCACACCCCCACAAACACACACACACACACACACATATACACACACCCAGACACACCACACACACCCACATACACACACCCCCACACACATACATATACACATACATACACACCCCCCCACACCCACATACACACACCCACATATACACCCCACATATATACCCCCCCACACACTACACCCACACACACCCAGACACACACCCCCACCCCCCCACACCCACATACACACACCCAGACACACCACACACACCCACATACACACACATACACACACCCAGACACACCACACACATACCCCCACACACCCCCACACACCCACATACACACCCCCACACATACACACCCATATACACACACCCACATATACACATCCACCCACATATACACACCCCCCCACACACACCCCACACACACACCCACACTCACACATCACATACACACACATATGCACACACACATACACACACACACCCCCACACATACACACACACATACACACTCACCCACACACACACACAGGCACACATACACACACATACACACTCACCCCCACACACATACACACACACACAGGCACACACACACATACACACTCACCCACACACACACAGGCACACATACACATACACACCATACACACACCCACATACACACACACACACCCACATACATACACACACACCCACATACACACACATACACACATACACACTCACCCACACACATACACATACACACACAGGCACACATACACACCATACATACACCAACATACACTCACCCACACACACATACACACACAGGAACACCTACACATACACACCATACACACACCCACATACACACACATACATACACATGCACACCCACCGCCCCCACACACACACACTCCAGGCACAGCAGCCAGAGTGAGGGTACCCTCGGGCAATGCCATGGTGGATGGCCCCCTCTTCTGGACAGAACTTTCCAGATGCACACTGGGCTGGCAGAAGGGGAGCCCCGGGCAGGAGGCTGAACACGGCTCTCCAAGGCCCTCTCCCGCTGCCCTGTCTGGTGGGCTCTGACTGTGGGACCGGAAAGCAGATTTCAGTTCTCCGTGGAAGACTTTCTGGCAGCGAGGGCTCTGAAATCTGGGCCGAGCAACCTTGTAGGGTGGTAATGAGCTCCCCGTCACTGGAGGTGAGCAAGTCAGGGCCAGGACCCCTGGGCGGGCAAGCTGCAGCTGCTGGGTTTTCGATCTCCTGTCCTGAGCAACCTGCCCGCCTCCCGAGTGTGGGGGGAGCATTCTCAATGGCTGCTCTGCCTGGTAAAGCCAGACAGGATGTTGGCCAAGAGAGTCAACCACTTCCGTTTGCTGCCTCTGTTGCTGTTGATGGTTCCTCGAGATTTTTAATGGAAAATTACCCAAGTCCTGTCTGATTCTCCCAAAGTTCTTAAACACGGTGCTGGCCGGCTGTGTGGTCCTTTGTGACCCAGAGCTCAGGGCCCAGCGGGGGCACAGGCCAGCATCGGGCTCTCCTGGGCTTAATGGGGGCGGGGCTTGGGCATGTCCCCTGGGCTCAGCCTGGCTGCAGTGCTGGGGCCGTGGGGAGCAGCAGGGACCAGTGTCTCTTGGGGGAGCCCCTGTCCCCAGGCTGGACTGGCCCTGGGAATTTCCAGGTGGCACTGGTGGGGGGAGCAGGGGACTGCAGCAGGAGGGGCCCATTGCAGAGATGTCAGCGCAGACGTGCATTTGAGAGGCTGGGGGGGCAGGGGGAGGGGGCTGGGGGTTGAGGAGGGAGCCTCAGCCTCCACAAACCACAGGGGCCCTGCAGACGCTGTGGTGGCCTGGTGGCCTTATCAGCTTGTACATTCTACCCCACAAAGAAAGCAGCTCTGCTCGCCGGGCTTCCTGTACCTCACAAACAACGGCTCCCCGCCAGACACCCCTCATCCACTGTCCCCAAAGTACAGGGCCCAGCCACCCTCTCCTGGCTGCGTGGGGTGCAGAAGCCCCCTCCCCCCACCCAGGGGCTCTGCTGGGCCTTTGGTGGCCCCCACTCCCCTCTCTGGGGAGTCACCTCTCTTCGCCTGGTTGCTCAGAGGGGTTGACACCCCGCTCTGGGCTCCAGATGACTCACATCTGGCTGATGGGGACCTGCTGGCTCCTACCACCAGCTGCAGTGACGGTTCAGGGAGGGTCCTGCCACCCAAGCCGGTCGATAGCCTCGATTCTGGACTTAAACAGCGAAGCGACAGGGAAGCTAAGCAAGTCCGAGGCTCAGAGCTGCCCGGGCCATCTCTGGCACAGCTCGGGCACAGCGGGTGTAGGAGGAGAGCCATGGAGGGGGGGGGCTAAGAGATGGAGCCCCCAGGCGGAGCATCGACGTCCCTGAGCCCCAGGAGCTAGCTGAGCCTGAAGCCCACAGTCGGAAGGCTAACTGACCCCTGGTCTTTTCAGCGACATGAGTTGAGATTCCCCCTGCCAAGAAGTCAGGACCCCCGGCCAGCTCAGCCAAGCCTCTGTCCCCAGACTCTGCTTGGCATCTCTGCAGAGGGAGGTGCTCTGGGTCCAGCATGGCCTTGAACTGGGACTTCTCAGAAGCCAGGAGACCGCGGGAGCCTCCTTCCTGGAGCCCAGTGTCCTTGGCTGTCCAGTGGGGATGCGGGAGCTCACGGCCACCAGGACGTGCTCGACACTGTGCTGGGCTCGCGGCCTGCTCTGATCAGAGCCCAGGACGAGGACCCGGGGGCTCAAGGGCTGCCGAGAGCAGAGGACGCCCGAGCTGGGAGGCCCTCCACCTGGCCCCCTCCACTTCCCCACCTGTTCCCGGGTCCCTCGCGGCTCCACCCCTGCGCCCCGGCTCCCTTCCTAGTGGCTCCCAGCGAGCATGGTGACCCTCCCAGGTTCCCGCTGAGTGCCAGACGCAGCTTCTCAGATGACACTGTGAGTCAGGGTCATGGGCCCTGAGAGCAGATGACATCCACCAGGCCCCTGTGATGGCGCAGACCAGGCCTGCGCGCTCTCTGATGACGCCCAGGGGAGCTTCGAGGTTGACGAGCCACCCCAGCCACCCCAGGCCCTTGGACGTGCTCAGAGAGGCCAAGTGCTGGCCTGACACGGCCCAGAGGACAGGCAGCCCGGGCTGGACGAGGCTCTGCCCGAGAGGAGAACGAGGCCGGCCAGCGCTCCGGGCAGGTCTGCGGATTTGGAAGCTCAGTTGAGATAAGAGACCCAAAGCCCTGGGAGAAAGTCACAAGCTCTGGACAGATGTGACCAGATGTGGCCGAGTGCTCTCGAGGAAAGGCTGGAACTGGGAAAAGTGCCCAGGGAGGGAGGTGGGAAGAGGGTCCTGGCAAGGACAGCGACCTGGACCCGGGAGAGCTGGCGGCACGGAACTCATCACCTGCCGGTGGCCTAGGTGTGCCGGCCCCAGGCCACCTACCTGGCACGGCTCTGCCTCTGAATTTTAAGAATCCCTCCTTGCAGTGGCCTCCTTGTGACAGGCCTTAGAACCCCGCTGCCCGGGGGGGGGGGGAGCTGTGTCCCCAGTGACCTGAGGCCACCCAGTGGGCAGACGGGGGACATGGGGCCGAGAGCTCCAGCCAGCTCTCAGCTCCCAGCTCTATGTCATGGTCCCTCTGTGACCAACTCTCTCCTCTGGGGACAGAGGTGGCGGAGGGTGGGGGAGGATGCACTCCAGCCCCGAGCGGCCCAGAACGGAGGCCCAGAACCGTCGCAGCCCCGCCAGGCCCTGAGGCAGGAGGACCCTGGTGGGTGCTGGGCCGTGGAGGCGCGGGGCCTCGAGTTCTGGACGGGAACTGCCCGCTCACCTGACCAGGCCTTGCCCCTCCCTCCCTCCCGTGTTTATCGACCCCTGGTTCGGTGTCTCTGTCGTTCAAGGCCCTGGACGTGGGGCCCCTGCCACCGTCCTGCCACAGTAGCCACTCGTCAGCTGGCCACACTGGCCCCTCCCCTTCCCGGCCAAGCCAGGCCAGGCCCTGGTGCTGTTTCCTTCCGGAATGTCCTCCCTGCTTCTCTCTGGGAACTCCCAGTCAGGACCGAGGCCAGCTCGGAAGCCACCTCTTCTGGGGAGGCTCCCGGGGGACTGAGCAGTGTCCCTGGGCTTTCACGGCCATGGTCCCCGGGTCCCACGGTTAGTGTGGCATCAGTGAGCCAGGGCGGTCATTCACAGGTAGATCTTCCTGCCAGGCCCCGGACGTGGTCAGGCAGGGCCTGTCCAGCTGTCCGGAGACCTCCTGTGGGCACAGGCCTGGTGCCGTGTGGCGGGAGGGTCATTCACCTAGGGACAGGAGCTGGGCTCCGAGGGACAAGGGCGGGTGGAGGCTCTGGGGTTCCAAGCGGCAGGCCTGTCTGCGGGGGCGTCCTTCCTGGAAGGTGTGGATGCCGTCGCCCAGCGTCCCCCAGGGGCCTGAATCTGGGAGGCCTGTGGGTGGGCTGGCTCCAGACGTCCTCCCCGGACAGGGCCTGGGAGGACCCACTCCTGGACCAACCGCCTTTATGACCGTCCGTCTCGGGCCTGGCGGGTCCACCTCAGCACGTCCCCTCCAGGCGTGGCCTGTGCCGGGGAGCCCCCCAGGCCATCATCTCAGGACAGGCCCCTCTGGCTGCTCGGGACCCGGGGCCGTGGCCTGACCCTTACCCGAAGCTGCTCCTCGGGCAGGTCACTGCCGTCGTTGATGCCGCGGTTCATGGACACGAAGCGCTCGAAAGGCGGCCTGTCGCGGACGCTGGGGTTGTGCAGGCCCGTGTTGAGCATGATGATGGAGAAGGACAGCACGTAGCAGGTGTCTGCAGGACGCGGTCATGGCGCTGACCTCTGGCCTGCCAGGGCCACTCAGCCCGTTCTGCCCCTGGCCCGGCATCTGACGCCTGGCCCGGCCCCTGCTCTTGCTGGACTCCGGGCACACAAACCACTTTCCCGGCCACCGTCACCCCAGCCGCGCCCCCGGCCCTCCCTGGGCGCCCCACGCCCTCCGTCCGCTCCTCCACTGAACAGTCCCCCCAGCCCCGGCTCCGCCTCCCCCGCCCGGCGGCCCACCGGCCCCTGCCCGCTGGAACACTGAGGGTTGGCGGGACTTTGGGGCTTGTCACGTGCTGCTCAGTGACCTTGCTGCCCCCTGGGGAGTATTCCTGTGCTGGGGGCGGGGCCGGCTGGGGCTTTGGGGGCCGTGGTCGCTATTCTGGGTCTTTTATGGAATATTCAGTCCCTGGGCCCAGAGCCAGGGAAGTCCCCAACCCCTTGACCTTCAGCTCTGCATCTGAGGTGAGTCTTTAAGCAGCTCCGGGTCTAGAGTGCGATTCCCCCTCCCACAGCACTGCCCCAGGCTAAGCTCTGGACCTCCCCGTGCGGCCCTGCGAGGCAGGTGCTGTCACCACCTCCATTTCACAGGTGAGGAAACTGAGGCACAAGGAGGTTAAGTCACAGGCCCAAGCTTCCAAACTAACAAACCAGTCGGACTGCGATTCAGATCTGGTGCTCTGAAAAGTCCCTTCCCATAACCTCCTGCAAACTCCTATTCATCCTTCAAAACCCCGTTCAGACCTTGCCACCCCTGGGAAGCCGTCGTGGGGGGCCGCTGACCCCCCTACTCCTACCCTCAGACAGAGGTGATGCTCTAGTCCAGCACCTGTGCCCTCACTCCCTGCCACCTCTCCCCGGGGCGGCTCCGCCTGCAGACACCCAGCGGAGGCCTGGCCCCGACCTGTGCTCAGCGAGGGCTCCTGAAGGGTCTGGTGCTGGGGGTCCCGAGGGCGGGCCCTGGCGCCCTTGGGGCAGGTCTGCGCCTGGCAGTGTGGAGGGTCCCAGAGCCTCGGCCCCCTCCGCACCTGTGGACTGGAAGACCCCGGGGTTGCAGAGGCAGTAGCGGGCGGCGAAGGCCTCCATCATCCTGTCGATCTTCTGGGCCTCCCCGGGCAGCCGGAAGCTCCAGAGGAACTGCCTGGGGAGGAGGGCGGTGGGCAGCAGAGGGCGGTGGGCAGCAGAGGGCGGGCCCCCAGGGGCCTAGAAAGCCACGGCGCCCACCAGGCCTGTCCCCTTATGGCGTGAACCAGAGAATCTGCAACTGTCTTCCAGGCCCTCACACCCTCAGCCCCCGCCCACGGGGCTCAGGGCTCCCCTGCTCTGGCCACGGGGCCCTGGGCTCTGCCTGTGGCTCCTGGCACGGCCTCCCTGGCTGGGCGCCCCTTGGGCTCTGCACGTTGGTGGTTCCAGTGACAGGCGCAGTCCTGGGGCGAGGGCTGGGCCTCCCAGGGCCCCCGGACCTGCTCACCAGGCCCTGCTCGATAGGCAGGTGCACGAGTGACCGAGTGACCGGACACGGAGCCCCCAGCCGCCTGCTCTTCTCCTCTAAAGGTGTGGGCGCAGGGAGGCCGTGCTGCCCGGGAGGGGCTTCCTCCCTGCCGACTCCTACTCACCCTGCAACACCCGGGCCAAGCGCCCCTCCCGGAGCCGATTCTCCAGGGGAAACGCCGGCGGCAGCACTTCTCAGCACTCACCGTGGCCCCTGAGCACTTTCTCCCTGGTCCTTACACCCCTGGGAGCCTGTACTGTTCTTGGGCTCTTTTACAGATGAGGAAACCGGGGCACAGAGAGGTTTCTTTTTTGTGACTTGCCCCAGGTCACACAGGGCGTGAGAGGCAGATCTGGGACTGTCCCTGGGCTCCAGAGGCGTAGGCAGGAGGGTGGTTCTAGTGGTTGGTTGGGGACAGGACAGGCTCCTCGTCTTCATGCCTGACCCTTGGTGGCTGCGGTCTGCTTGTGGGTCCCCATGTCCCCACCCTGCAGACCCTGCCCCCTCCACGGCTCACCTGAGGGCCTGGACGAGGTTGAGGTTGGCAAACTCGTGGCAGTCCACGAAGGCCTGGAGGACCTGCAGGTTGGTGGGGTCCCTGGGAGGGCGGAAGGGACGGGGCTGTGTACCCACCTCCTGGAGCCGCCCGGGAGGGGCAGGGAGGGGGTCCATCCTCGGGTCCCACCAGCACCGTCTCCTCCACTCATGATAGGTTCTGCCCCCCATCACCCCTGGGGACGTGCCTGTGTCCCCCCTTGTCCCCCCATGTGGGCACAGACCCTGGGGGCCACCAGCCCTGCTCTCCCCCAGGAGCTGGCCTGCCCCATCCAATCCTTCCTTGATTCCTTCCTGCCTGGGTGACCTGCTCAAGGCCCCCGCCCGGGTTTCCTGGGCTGGGCCTTGACAGCCCTGTTCCCCAGGTCCCCCTCTTCCCAGCTCTGAAGCCAGGAAGAGCTGCCCTCCTCCCCCCACCTCCCCCCACCTCGCTCAAGGGGCACATGTCCTCTGGGGAGCTTGGGAGAAGGGGTCTTGGCTTGCTGGCCCAGTTCAACCCTGGCCCCCTACAGTCCACCCCCATCCATCAGCCAGAGGATGGTCACAGACTACTTCTCTGCCCAGACCCTCTACAGACCCCTAACTTGTTTCCTACTACTTCCTTCCTCTGTCTCTTGCTATCTCTGTCTCATCAACGTCTTGAGCCTGCTTCTGCCCCAGGGCCTTTGCACTGGCTGATGTCTTTGCCTGGAATCTGTGCACTGCCCATGCCCGTCCTTCTGTGAGTTTCCCTCACCTTCCCTGGGAGCCTTCCTGTCCACACTATTTAAAGCCACAGCCCAAGCCAGGTCCTCAGCTCCTGGACCTCCCTTCCCTTTGGTCTCCACAGAACTCATCATCTTATGACATATTTTACGTGGTGTTGGGATCTGACCCCTGGTAGGAACTGAGGCCAGTTTGGTCCATCTTGGAAACCCAGGACTTACCGCGGTGCCTGGAGCCCAGCAGCCACCGGGCTTGCTCCACACTATGGCGCAGCGCGGCGGGGTGCTGGGTCTGGTCTTTCCCGGGTGGCTCAGTCTCCCTCCCCTGCACCCCTTGGTTCCTGGCTCCCTGAGGCCCCAGCCCCTCACCTCTCCCCCAGATAGGTGCCGATGGCCGTCTTGCTGAGGCCCTCGCCCTTATACAGGAACTGGGCGATGTCCTGGATGTCCGGGGTCAGCAGCTTCTGCTCAGTGAGGTACTGGATGCCCTGCAGGTGACATGTGGCCTCTGTGTGCAGCCCCTGCCCCGAGGCAGGCCTGGAGCCGGGAGCCTGCGGCCAGGCCCGGGGCCAGCCTGGTGGGCTCGGCTGTCCCTCTGAACAGGAACTGCCTTTGTGAGCTCCCCAGGCCTGGAGGCTGCAAAGGGCCAGAGTCCCCGCAGGGAACCAGGCTCCTGCCAGGGCTCCCAGGGCCCCGCAGCCCGCTGTCCCCCCAACGGGCTTCCCCTGACGGGCTTCAGCGATTCCGCCCTCCGTCCCCCCAAAACTCATATTAATTAAAAAATAGCCCTTCACTTGGTCACACAGGTGACCTATGGCCACTGTGAAAAGTTAGAAAAAAACAGCAGAGGGGAGGGGCACCCAGGGCCCCCCACGGGAGGTGGGTGGCCGCCGTGAAGGGCCTCCCCTCCCCACGGAGCCTTGAGCCTCGTGTGACTTCACGGAGCCCATGACCCGGGCACTCAGAGCCTGTCATCCAACGTCCAGGAGACCGAGCGTTGTCTCTGGGCTCCCGGGGGACCCCTGAGGGCCCCCTCCTCCTGGACAGGGGGCTTCTGGAAGCCGGCAGAGCAGGGTGCAGGACAGCGAGTGGGACAGTGTGCGTGTGGCTTGGAGTGTGTGCGTGTGTGCTTGGGTCCCGGTGGACGGGGGCAGGGGCCCGGGATCAGTGATGGTGACAGTGGGCACCCGTGACACTCAGGGCTGTTGGGGAAGAGGCGGCCTCAGCTGACCAGGGAGCTCCCCAGCACTCCAGCCTGGCGCCCCCTGCTGGCTGCCTGTGCCTCCTCCACCGGCCAGCGCCTCTGTCCCTGGGGGCAAGGGAGCCCAGCAGCCAGGGCAGGGCGCGGGAGGCCGCTACCTTCGCGGGGTCCATGTTGAACTTCTTCCTTCCCATGCACAGCTCCTTCTCCTTCTGGGCCATCCGGCTGCGGGAGTGAGGGTGTCAGTGTGGCCGCCCCAGGACACGGCAGGACCCCCTCCACCTGCCCTGGCCCTTCCTCGGGGGCCTCCAGGTCCTGCAGCGGAGCCACCTGGGTGAGGAGAGGACAGGGCCCCGCTCTTCCCGGGGGGCTACCAGGCTGGACCCCGAGGGGCCCTGTGGAGCCTGGATGGCGGAGGAGCCCCCGGGGGCCTGGGCGGTGGGCGGCGGGCGGTGGGCAGGGGCCTCACCTCTCCTCGGCGCTCTCGAAGCAGTCGATCTGGGCAAACACATCCGCGATCTCCTGCTTCAGCTTCTGTAGGACGGGCGGGGGCGGGGGAGATGGGGCTCAGAGGTCAGGCCTGGGGGCGCTCGGACCCCTGTAACCGCTCCCATCCTGGTGTGACCCGGGCGGGGCCGCTTCCCTGACCTTCATCCTCAGCCCCTAGTCTGAGGGACCCTCCCAACACGTCCCCTCCCTGCTTTCCCATCCCACGAAGCCCCCGCCCCCAACTCGCTTCCTCTGCTGTGCCCCCACCCCACTCTTGTCTGGGGGTGGGAGGTCCGGAGCCCTCCATCCACCCGATTTCCAGTCTTCCCACTTCTGCCCTCTGCAGTGTGGCCACCCCCGTGCTCCAGCCAAGGCCACCGCCAAGCCCCTTGTGGTTCCCGCAAGCCCAGCCAGGAGCCTGCCCCCCAGCTCAAGTCCCCCCAGGCTCCCTCCTGTCCCCCCAGCTCAAGTCCCCCCAGGCTCCCTCCTGCCTCCGCGGCTCCTGCCCGATGCCCAGGCCCCTCCTCTCTGGCTTCCCTCCAGTTGCCCTAGACTAAGTGCCCACCAGGTGCCAGGTGCCGCGGGGCACCTCTGGAGGCCCTGAGTGGCAGAGGAGAACCTCTCCGCTGCCCACCGGCCACCCCAGCTGGGCAATGGGGAGGTGGCGGCTGGTTCAGCTCCCCCTGCCGGGCAGCAGCATGAGCACTAGCCAAGTCCCCCGAGAGGCACCCGCCCACCCCTCCCAAGACCTGTGGGTGCTGGGGGTGGGGTCTCCCAGGATTAGTCCTGGGGTTCAGGGCCAGCTGAGGGCCTGGGAGCTCATCCGAGGCCAGGCAGCTCCTGTCCGTGTGGTCTCAGCTGGACCCAAGAGGCCTCCCCCCAGTAGAACGGGGTTCACTCACAAGTGTTAACTGAGCACATCGAGGCTCGGGCTCCTGGGCTGGGGTTTGGGGCGGGCAAGGCAGGCCTGGGCTCTGCTTTCCCGGAGCTCAGGGCTACTGGGGGTGGGATCGTGGCCATCAGAGGCCAGTGAGACGGCAGGATATTATCAGACAGTGGTACAGAAAGCCCGGCGTGGGGCGGGCGCCCACAAGATGCCAGCTGAGGGAGATTCTGTGGATCTTAAGTGCACACATGGGGTGGGCCGGGCAACGGTCACCAGGGTGGTCAGGGCAGCTGGAGAGGAGGGGGAGGGAAACGAAGAGAAGGAGAAGCCGCGAGGGGCGCCGGGAAGGGCCTGGGGCTGCGGGACCTGCCACGCATAGCTCAGAGGCAGGACCCGCTAAGGCGACCGGAGAAACCCCGGGTGGGGTCTGGAAGCCTGGTGACGAGTGGTGACGAGTGGCCGTCCAAGAAACTGGCAAGTCTCGGCACACTTGGGTGCTATTTTGACCAAAGGGTCCACCCCTCCAGGGGAGGAGGCCTGACTGGGGCCCCTGGGCTGGGACTGGACCCCCCCCCACCCCCGTGTGGCGGAGTGGGCTCAGCTTCCTGCCATGGCTCCCCTGCCCCTGCCTGGCCGGCCCCTGAGCCTGGGCAGTCCCGGGGACTTCCGGGCTGTGCTGGTCTCCCGCCCCTGGCTGGGCTCTCTGATCAGGGGGTCGGAGCCAGCAAGGAGGGCCCCGCGTGCAGCTGGCGCCCTGCACACCTGGATGTCCTCCAGGAGCTGGTCCCGGTGCCATCTGATCCTCTGCAGCTCCTCGGCCTCCCCACTGCTCAGCTCGGCTGCGTCTGCAGAGAGAAGACCCTGGTGCTCCCCTCCCCTGCAGAGCCCGGGGCTCGCTGGCCCTGCACCCAGGCTGGACGCCACCCCGCCAGAGGCCCTCCCTGAGCACTGTCCTGAGCTGTGCAGTGTTCCCACCCCCATAGAGACTCCGCAGGGCTCTCGTGCGCGGTGACCCTCGGGCCCCTCCCCTCAGACTCGGCTGCTGGAGCCAAGGAGCACCTAGGATCCGACAGTCCCGCGTAAGTGCTGAGCGCATCCCACCTGGGGCTGTCACCCGCGCCTCATGGCTCACAGGACTGTGACTCACTCACTGTTTCATTTGCACCCACAGGAAGCACCTTTCCACTCTCCTCCCACCTGTTGGCAGGGCGCAGGCCCACGGCCATGCCCAGCAGCAAGGGAGGCTGGGAAATGGGCCCCTAGGAGGGCGGCCTGAGGCCCTTGCCATGCCGATGGGAGAACTGGACTGGGGGACGATTTACAGTCCCTGCTCCTAGACTCTGAGGCTCAGAGAGGAGAGGTGGCCTGGCCCAGGTGCCCCAGGGACAAGGTTGCCGCTCCGGGTTGGGCCCTGGGGGTGGGCTGGCCGCGCTGTCACCTGGAAGTGAACTAAACGAGGTGCGTGGGTGTGGCGGGTCCGTGAGGCCCACGGGGATGCCCATGTGGTCCTATCCCAACCACTGCACTCTCTGGTCGGGAACTCCGGGACTCCCTGTCCCTTAGGGAGAAACGTCCCCTTCCTGGCCCTGGGGCTCCGTAGTGTCCCCAGTCCCGGCCTTCGTGCCCACCATTATCCACAGAGCCCCCCCGTCCAGCTGCTGCTCCCACCCCAAAGCATCAGCCCTCGGTCCCACCTCCCGCTCGGCCCAGGCCAACCCTCCTCTCGGGATGCCTTCCCCTGTCTGTCCATCCCAATGTCCTGTCCCAGCCTTAGAAGGTGCTGGTCACACTTCTCAAAGGCTTCACAAGGACAGACCTCACCTCCCCTGAGTGAACCTGGAGAGAACACCCCGTGACTCCCGCGCCCCACTGCATTGCCTGAGCAGCCACCTTGGACTCTCCACAGGGAACGGAACCACAAGGAGCCAGAGGCCTAGTCCCCAGGCCACCAGGTGGGGCCACCTCCTTCCTTGGACTATTTTCTGAGAGAACACTGAGTTTTGAGAACGCTTTGGTTGCTGTTATTCTGGTCTCTTTGTTACAGCAGCTAAACCTGAGCCTGACTAACCAGTGTCCTTACCTGTGAAATGTGAGCACAGTCTTACCTCAGAGGGTGGCTGTCAGGAATGTCAAACACCCACGAGTATCCAGCACATAGGAAGGTCCAGCCCGTGCATAGTGCCCAGCTGTCCTCCTCAGGAACAAGCCACCCGTCCCCACACTGCTGGGGTGCAGCTTGCCCATGACTCACAGCCAGGTCCTTCCCTGGGAATTAGCCGGCTCAGCCCAAGGATGTCCCCTCCCAGGGACAGCCACTCCACTAAAAGTGCAGCCCCCTCCCCTCATTTCTGACTTGACCCAGTTTTCAGGCCCTCCCCTATAACACTGTGGCAAAGATCTATGGTGACAACTTCCTGTTCTTTGTAAAAAAGCACCTGTGACCTATTGCCCCACACATGGGGGGATGGGGATCTCCACATATTTTGAGGATGTTGGCCACAGGACCCAGGCTGACAGGGGCACTTAGGACAGAAGTGTCATCTGGGTCCCATCAGAGTGGGGCCTACAGAGGCCAGATCATGAGCAGGGCTCTGGCTGGGTCCAGCCTGCCCAGGGTCCACCTGGTTCACGGCCACTTTCCTGGTCTATAGACGTGGGGTTGGAGTGGACGTTGGTCCTGGACCTCACGCTGGCACTATGGGGCCCCGTCATTGCTGGGGGAAGGCTGTGGGGAGGCCACGGCGCTGCCCCGGGCCCAGCTAAGAGTGAGTAAAACGTGAGGCCAACTCCCCCATGTGACCCTGGGGACCACAGCTCTGAGCTGGCCACCAGTCTGGAGGGTGACCGCGGAGCCCACCCCTAGCCAGGGAAGGTGTCTGCACTGCAGCACTGGGCGTGGGCTCTCAGCCAGCCCCTCGAAAGGGCTCGGACCGTCGTCCGGCAGGTAGGTTCCTGTCCTGTGTGGGGACCGAGGATGGAACAGGCACAGCCAGGTGGACCCCTGGGATCAGACGACTCTCCTGCCCCTGTCAGAACAGAGTCAGAGGGGACCTGGCCATCAATGGTGACGGCGCGTTCAGCGAACAGATGAGCCAGGGGAGCACGGGGTGCGGAGGCCCTGGGGAGGCCCAGGCTCTTGGGAGAGCTTGGGGTCCTGCCCCTTGTGACCTCGTGAGGAGGGGGAGACCCCCAAGCCTGGTGACAGGTGGTTGGTCAGTGCTGGGGTCGAGGAGAAACTGCAGATCTGAGAGCCAGAGGCCTGCGGGAGGTGTCCCCGAGACAGTGGGCGGGAGACCAGGAGGGCAGCGCTGTGGGCGGCACCTGGCCACCCACTGCCTGTGGAAAGAAGGGGCCTGAGAGGAGCACAGACACTTTCGTGGGCAGCAGCGAGTGGCTGGCGTCCTACCAGGGCCAGGAGGAAGGAAGCCTGGGAGCAGGTGGTCGGGAGGGGAGGGGTGCCCTGGGGTGGGCAGAGGGGGAGGCTTCTGTGCACCACACTCATGGTCCTCCAAACGTCCTCGCAGGACACACAGAACCACCACCTGACACCAGGGCCTGGGCCAGCCTCCCCCACCAGGGCCTGGGCCAGCCTCCTCCACCAGGGCCTGGGCCAGCCTCTGCCGGGCCGCCCTGTGGGGTACACAGGTGTATGAATGGAGGAGCCTCGTGCCCTGGGGGAGGCTCTGGCCCCATGCCCCAGGGCACCCCCAGCCACTGTCACACTGAATGTCTAACCACTGAGTGGACACTGAACCGCGGTTTCTCCAGAAGGCCAAGCCGCAACGAGGTGGCCAACAGATGCCACTGGACCTCTGTAAGACCACTAACCTGCCTGGAGCCGCAGGTGTCCTGACCCCGGACGTGTGTGCCTTTCTGTCCACAGAGCCTGGGCCAGTGCCACGTCCAAGGGCTTACAGAGAACACTGCGTGACGTCACACTGTGGTGTGCAAGGGACCCTTCAGAGTAAAGGTAGCTGGGGTGAGCCTATGTCCCTGGGACCCACCAGTCCTCACACGTGTCACCACTGGAAGGCACTGTCCTGATGGATGGCAGTGGAGGTGCAGCCTGGCCGCCTGCCTGGTGGGGGACCTGCCTGCCCTGAGCTAGGTCCCACACACCCTGAGCCAGGCCCCCACCTCGAGCTAGGCCCCGCCCACTCTGGGCCATGCCCCGCCCACCCTGAGCCATGCCCCGCCCACTGTGTGCTAGGCCCCACCTATACTGAACTAGGCCCCACCCACCCTGGGCTAGGCCCCACCCACCCTGAGCTAGGCCTCTCGCAGGGCTTAATGGGCACAGGGGCCAAAGACAGGAGGGAGACTGCCCCACGTGTGGCACCTCCTGGTGACCCCCCGGGAGCTGCTTTTTGTCCCTGCAATGCTGCACTGTCTAGAGGTCCTGCTTCCCCCTGGGAGACAGGGGCTGGCAGGGCACCAGGCAAGAGTCCCGTGGAGCTGTGTTTTTACAGTAGACGGACCCGGGACCTTTACTTTTTTTACTGGTGCTGAGCATCGAACCCAGGGCCTCACACGTGCGAGGCAGACGCTCCACCGCTGAGCCCCGCCCAGTCTCCCACGGAACTTTTTACGCTCATGGACACCTGCGCGTGCCTGCAGCTCTGTGCACAGTGTCACCTGGTCCTCGTGACTCTATAGTAGGTATTTTCCATTTTAAGACACGGAGGCTCAGAACGGTGACATGACATGCTCTGGTCACACAGCCACATTGTGGCCGTGCTGGGCAGTGCTGGGATCTAGTCCCAATTCACTGACACCGAGGCTCTGCTCAGGGCCGCCGGGTTCTCAAGGGGGACATGGAGACTTGGAAGGCAAAAGGGCCGTCTGCATGACAGGGACATGGCGGGGAGGCGGCGCGAGGGGCTGGCCTTCTCTGCCCAAGCTGGGTGGTGGGTCCAGACCACCCCTCCGGGCTCTCCTGAGCTCCGCTCTCACCTCTGCTAATGGGCCAGAGACTCGCGTCCCCAGTCCCAGCTGCTTCTGAGCTTCCAGCGCACGTCCCTGCTCACTGGGCACCGTGTTTGTGTCCTTGAGCACTGGAAGGAGTCCCTCGCTCCCAGGAGCCCCGACGCCCTCTGTCCTGTCCCCTCCTTCCCCTCCCACCTTGCCCCACCCTGACCACCATCATCTCCTTGGAACGCCTGCCGGGTTCCCCTGTCTCCCTGTGGCCCTCTGCTGTCCTACCCCAGTGTCCCATGACGTCCCGTTGTCCTGAGGACAGAGGCCCCAGGTCCTTCTGGGCTCAGCAGCCCACGGTGGCCTCCCCACCCAAGGATCGGGCTCCGTGCCTCCTCCCGGGCTGCCCTGCGCCCTTGCGTCCACACGCCCTTCCTCCGTCGGTCAGCTCCGCCCACTCCCCAGTCTCCTCTCACCAACCTCCTGTGCTGTTGGGCACCATCCCCTCCTGCCCCCTTCTCATTCCTCACTGCGCTTCTGGGATGGGCGTGGCTCATGAGCGAGCCGGGCCATGGGTTAAGGAAAGGGGCACTTGCTGAGCGCCTACTGTGAGCTGGGCCCTGCGTGCTCCCTACTGTCCCGTCCACTCCTCCTGCATGACTCTGTAGGAAGGTGTTTCCAATCTCATCACACAGGTGAGGCACCTGGGGCTCAGAGAGGTTGAGAGAACTTCCAAGGCAACACAGCCGGGAGGTGGCAGAACTGGGACTCACACCTGGGCCTATCTGGGGTCCTCCCCTGCTGTCACGGGCTTGGGGCCTGCGGGACCCAAGGGTCTCTGGCCCTTCATCTGTTAAAGGTGGAGTGTCCTCCCCGCTCCACTCTGAGGACACTGCCCAAGAGCGGCCACCTGTGATTCCAAGGCTGGTGGTGGTGACATTACTGTCACCCTGTGGGCTCATGGGAGATGTGTTTGTGATAATCAAAATACACACAAATAGGGCGGTCCCAATCCCACTGGCCGCGGGCCACTCCCTCCTGGCCGGGCCTGCGGCTGCCTGGTGCCTGGGGCAGCTGTGTGCCCGCCCCCGCCCCGGTGCCCGCCGGCACCTCTGCACTTCCCTCTCGCCCTTCCTCTTTCCTTCTGTATTTTTAGAAACCTTTGCGCTTGTGGCCCCGCTTCCAGGACAGCTGGGCCACTTCCCCTTCCCGGGCCCAGGCAGGAGGCCCTGCAAGTCCCAGCGCAGGAGGGGGCCGCCCCGCCACCCCCACGCCCGGCGGGCACCCCTGTGTCCGGCTGTGCAGCCGCCACGGGGTCTCCTACGGTTGTCACCTTCCCACAGGACCCCGGGGAGGGGCCTGACCTGCTTCCCTAAGTCACACCACTCCCCACATGTCCCCTGCAGGAGGCGGGGGCAGCGCTGGGGACCTTGGCTGCCACACTGTCCACACTAGAGGTAGAAGGGCCAGCAGGAGCCCTGGAGGCTGGCCCCAGAGTCCACCTCCTGACCCGGAGTCCCCGATCACCCCACCTCCCGGGTCAGGCCAGACCTGAGATGACACCGCCACCCGAGACCCAGTCTGGTGGCGGGGGTGGCTGCCCTTGCTGCCACCTCCCCAGGGGTCGTCCCGGGGGAAAGTCGCTCCCCCCAGGTCTGCCCACTGCCGTGTCCTGCTCAGAGCCCGCAGAGCCTGTCCCCTCTTCCCACCGGCCCGCACCTGGGCCAGCAGCTGCCCCACAGGAAGGCCGGCGGCGGGGGACCGGGGACGGTGCTGTCCCAGCATCACAGAATGAATGGAGGAGGAGAGACCGCCGCGGAGCGCTTCCCCCAGGGCCGCGGAACCAGGCAGCACCCCCTTCAGCCGGGCCTCTCGCCCCTGCGCCCGCCCTCCGCTCCCGGCTCCTGCCCTTGCGCTGCTCCTTACTGCCAGGACCCGGCCACCAGGCCACCCCGGAGCCCCGGGTTCCTTGTCTGCACCCTGGGGACAGCCATCCCTGGGACGTCCCTAGGTGGGACCCAGAAGTAATGGCGGTGCACGGCCGGCTGCGGCCCGGCTCACCCTCCACCTCCACATCCGCTGAGTGACCTCGAGCCCAGCCCTGCCCTCGCCGCCTCTCCTCTTGCCTTCTAGCTGTCCCCTGAGCTGTGGTCACAGCCCGTGCAGGACAGAGCCAGTGGCCCCAAAAGCCCACAGGAGCATTGGAGGCAGGAGGGAGGCAGAAGCCGGGGGAGGCCAAGTCCTCCAGCCTCCGCCTCCCGAGGCCGTCCCCTCCTGCCTGTTGTTGAAAGGGACCGAGGTTTTCCTGCCGGGTCCCCAGAGCCCCCGGGCTTCGCCTCTGGGCGCTGGTGAAGGTCAGGGTCACCCACACCTGGGGCACCGGACGCTCCTGCAGCCAGTGCCATCTTCTAGGTGAACCTTCCGGGACGCCAGGCGCAGGGACGTGGTCCCTTTCTCAGTCCCAGCCCTGGACCTTGGGGGCGGCCATTCCTTTAGCCTGGAACGTTCCTTCCCCAGACGCCCTGCAGGCCACTTCTGCCCCCCTTCTCTGGTCAGTGGTGTCCTCCCCGGGGGCCATTCCCCTGCCCTCTCCCCCTCCTGCTGTGCCACTTGATCTCCCGTGGGCCACCAGCAGACACTGGCCACCGAAGTCTATTTGTCATCTATGTCCCCCAGAGCAGAAGCCCAGGGGGCTGGGACGGTGCTGCTCTGCCCACGCCCTGAGGCAGAAAGGTCCTGCCTTTCCCACTGTGTGACAATCAGGACACCATGGGACAGGTCCCTGCCCACCCTGCAGCAGAGGACACAGAGGCCCCAGGGCTGTGGCGCTTACCTGGGTGACACAGGTCCATCCCAAGGCCCTGGGGGAAGGTGGCCCTGCTCCCGGGCGTTGACCCCGCAGCTGCTTTGGTGGCCAGGCGGGGAGTGTCACCTGGCTGTGCCAGCCTCCTCCGGCCCCGCCCAGCCCACGTGGGAGGAAGTGGCGGGGTCTGCAGCGGCACTTCCTTCATCAGTTGTGCCGAGGACCTCTGCTTGTGGGGCGTGAGCACGGAAGGGACCGCAGGGAAGAGAGCGAGGGGCATAAAGAGACAGACAGACGGAAGGAAACACCCAGGCGCCACATGCACCCCGGGAGGACTGCGGGGACAGCACCTGCTCCCCCAGCTCGGCATTTGCCCAGGAGCCCGAGGCAGGCCAGGGGTGTCCCATCCTGGCTGAGCCCCGGATGTTCCGCTCCCGAAGCCCCTTTCATCGGCTCCCACTTGAGAAAAGTCACGTTAACTGAGCACCAGGGAGGGCTTCCTGCTCGCTTCAGAGACGTGTGGCTTCTTCCTGTCGAGGGATGGGTGGGGAGTAGGTCCTGTTTCCCCTTTCTCTCGGGCTGCTGGGAAACTCTTCATCAAATCTGAGGTTCATCCAGGCTGTGCTGACAGCATATGGACCTCGGGCCGTTTGACTCCCAGCTCTGCCACTCAGGACCCGTGTGAGCTTGGGCCAGTCTGCCCTGAGCCTCGTTTTGCTGACCTGTACAAGGGGGGTGATAACACTCGCCCCAGGGATATGGCCGAGATGGCCTGAGTCGATGTGTGTGGGGTGCTTGGGACGCGGTAGTTGCTCCAGAAACTCTTCCTCCTCTTGGCTTCAGTTTTCTTCGTTGGTTAAAACTCACAATCGCTTTGCTGAAGCCTTTTCTGCAGCTTGATTGAAATTCTCCATGGAAAAAGGTGCAGGTTAAGAAACACCGACCAGCAGACACTCATCCGGGAACCCCGCGACCCGTGGGGTCTGTTCATCTGCTTCCCCATTCTGTGGAGGCCTCTGAGGGTGAGGCCACCCTGGGTCCCAGCCTCTGACAAAACGTGGGGAGAGCGAGGGCATTCAGGTGCCGAGTGCCTCAGGGAGTGGGGAGTGGGGGAGGGGGAGGGGATGGAAGGTTCCGGAGAAGGTGCGGTCGGGGCAGGAGCCAGCTCCGCTCCTCCTTGGCGCCGGCTGCTGATGCCAAGGTTACTCCTCCCCTGGACCCTGGGCTGGCCTTCAGTCTCTGCCCGTGGAGACAGGCCCAGCGTCCCCACTGCCTCCTGACTGCGGTTTCCCGAGGGAGGCCACTAAGCCAAGCCACCCTAACTGGCCAACCCTCAGAATCGTGAGAAATAATAAACCGACATTTTTCCAAGTTTTATTTCTAATTGAGACCTCATGGTGCATACTCGTGGAGCGCTGTGGTATTCTGACACTGGACGCGAGGCATCGTGACCACATCAGGATGATCGGCACAGCCAAGTGTTCACCTTTTCTCTGAGTTGGGAACATTCAAAGGCCTCTCGACTTGCTAAGGCTTTTGTCCTTTAAGTCACCCATGTGCGGGCTGTTTTGTTACACACCAAAACTCACTGATACAAACGAAATCCTCAAGAGAAAACGGAGGCTCCCGTCTGCGACGTGCTCCACCAAGCGGGAGGCTGAGTTGGTGGCTGTTCAGGCTCCAGAAGCCAGGATGTCAACTCCCAGCCTGGCGAACCCAGGACCTTGAACCTGCGTCCCTCCCCCGGTTCTGCTCAACTCAAGGTCGTTTCTTGGGAAACTTGTTGAAATTGTCTCCGTGGTAAACCAGGTTTTGCTCACTACATTTGAGTCTGAGGCACCAGCAACTGTTTCAAGAAGAGAACGGAGAGGAAGCACACTCCCAGCCGGCTGAGCTGCTGTCCTCAGCAAGCCCGGCTCACAGGGCGGCCTTGGGGGCGCCTGGAGCACCCACTAGCTACTCCCAAGGGATGAGCGTCCCGGGGCCTGGCCTGTTGGCGTGCGATGGGCTCAGGCTGGGCACCTGCCCTGCTGCTCTGGGCCGAGATCTGGGTCTGGTGTGCTCGGGCTTCTCCCCAGGCACTTGGGGACTGGCTGTGTGACCTTTCACTGTCACCGATCACGGCTCTGAGACCAAATGCAGGGTCTCCTCATGGAACCAGGAACCTGGGACGGTCTCCGGGACCCCTGGCTGACCCTGTGTCTGGAGGGCCGCTCAGAGTGGCAGTGTCATGGTTCCACTCCTGAGACTCTCTCGGCGCCTCCTCTGAGAAGCCTCCCTGGACTTCATCTCTGCCCCCACTGTCCCCATGTCCCCGCGGCCTGGTCATGTTGAACAGCTGGTGTGACTACAGTCTGGGGCCGGGACTCGGTGGGCAGCTGAGAGTTTGGCAGACCCCACACTGGGGAGCCCTGGGGACCTGGGTCAGACCGAGTAGCACTACCTCACTGGGCGATCTCCTATCAGCCTTCTTTCTGTCTGAGCCTCGTTTTTTATCATCTGCAAAATGGAGACCTTCCTCAGGTTGCTAACCTGAAACAGAAACCCAAATCAATGGTTTTAAAAATATATCAGCGGTTTATTTATCTTTTATGAGGAAAAAGGCGTGCAGTGTAGAGCTGCCCTTAGCAGCCTGGTCATAGACCTAGGCTCCTTCTGAATTTTTCCTTCTATTTTCAAGTCTCACCATGGCCCAAAGCGGTTGCCTGATCTCTAGTTGTTATGCCTAAATTCCAGGTAGGAAGAAGGATGAAGGTAGGAAGTGTCTTCCTTAAAGCTCTCTCTTCAGAGGTGAGTCTATTCTGCCCTAAACGGGGGACAGGTTTCCCAGCTGTGTCCTAGGCAGAAGATTCACAATTGGTTTTGGGATAACACATGCAATTTCCAAACAGGGAGTTGGGACGTCCCAAAACAACCACCACTAGCATTCATGGAATGCTAACTACATGCCAGGCACCATGCCAAGTTTCCATCATCTCATTTAATCCTTTCCACAAACCAATCAGGTATGTTACTATAACCCCTGTATTGTAATTGTGGAAAATGAGGTCAGAGAGGTTAAGTCACCTGCCCAAGGCCACACAGTCAGGAAGTGGCAAAGCTCAGACTGCAGCCCTGAGCCGTCTGGCTTCCAGTCTCCACTCTGAAGTCATTCGGGTGTCACTTTGAATATTTAAGAAGAAGTTCATGGGCCTGCCCTCCCCTCCACCTGCCCATCCTGAGGGCAAGACAGGAAAGTTCTAGCACCGACTTGAATCATAGCAAAACCTCATGGTGACCCTTCCTGTGTGTCCTAGGGCCCAGCATTTCTCACCTGAATGCAGCTGGCTCAAGGGCAAGAGGGCTCAGGGAGCTTAGAGGTGTCCAATGCGAGGACCCAGGTCACAGGTGGGAAACTGAGGCTGGGGCGGGCAGACTGCGTCCCTTGGGCAGCGAGTCGGAGTCCCCACCCACTCAGGTCCAGCCGAGGGCCCCGTAGGGCTGCTCTGGACCGAGCACTGTTCATGGCTTGAGCAGGGGATCGGGTCCCCGGGTGGGCACGCGGTTTCAGACAGGCCGGTGGGAGGCAGCAGCAGTGGGCAGAGCGGCCATCGTCTCTGAGGTCCCCTTGGTCATTTTCTTATTTCCTCTCAAGGACTTGGTCTGGGGGCAGCATCGGGAGGCCAGAGGGTGGCACGTCCCGGCATCTTGGGGCTGCCGAGGGTCTGGCCCGGGAACCCGGCCGGGGGCGGGTGTGGGGAGCACAGGAGCCTCCAGGTGACCTGCCCTCCCTGTGGCTCCTCACCCGTGTTTGGCCCCTGGCCCTGCTGGCCCTGCTGGCCCTGCTGGCCGTGGGGGAGCGCCCGGAGGCAGTACCACCGCGACTCCTCCGGGTGGCCCTCACAGGGGGCGCCTCTGGCCAGGCACCCGGCAGGGACAGGAAGGTGTCCCCGCTCACCAGAGGGAACCGCGGTCAGTAAGGGGAAACGGATCACGCAGATCTCGGGCAGCTACTTCGGTTGTCAGTAATGATCTCGGGCCGGTTTAAACCAGAATTCACTGGCTCAGTCCCGGAAAGGAGGCATCCAGACACCGGGACCCAGATGTCCTTGTCTGTTCCTTCTCTCAGCTCCAGGCGTCTATCAGGTCACCTCGGGCTTCAGGGCACTGCCCCCGCCACCCCCCAGGAGAGAAAAAAGAAAATCCCGGGGAAGGCTTTGATTGGCAGGTCTGGGTCTCGTGCCCGGGTCCGTGTCCAGGGGAGGGACAGCCCCATCAGGACCACAAAGAGAACTTTTCTTTCTCCCGAAGAGCTCATCTCTTAGGCCGTAAGTCAAGGATCGACAAGGGCAACATGATCACCACGATTTCTTGCAGACAATAATGGAATGAAACTAGGATCCGACAGAGAGGGAAAGGACAGAAATGACAGGAACACGAGGAGACGGGACGGTCACTCATGAACCGTCAGTGGCCACCGATAAAACGGGGGGGGGGGATTCACAAATTCCTAGAATCAAGTAAAAATAGAGAAGCGACCTGCAAAACCGCGGGATAAAAGCGCAGGATTCGAGGGGAAGTTGGAAGGAGGAGCCGGAAAGAGGTCCCAGATGAGCACCTGCTGGTGCCTCCCGAGGCCTCAGGAAAACAGGGACCAACTGAGGGAGGAAGAAGGGGCGGGATCAGTGAACTGGAAACTAAAGGTCCATCAAACCGCAGGGTGGTTCTCTGAAGAGATGAGACTGATAGACCCTCCCTGGGGGGAAAGTGAGAGAGAGAGAGAGAGAGAGAGAGAGAGAGAGAGAGAGAGACCCAAAGTGATCACACGGGAAAGGAGAAGGGAGACTGTTGCATTAGATCCACGGAGATCCCGAGGATCGTTGGGCTCTTTTGAAAATTGAGATTCCAACAAACTGGCAAACCTAGGATCAGTCTCCAGACACAAATGAGCTCCCAAAATTGAACCAAGGGGACGTTAGGAACCTAATCAGATTAACGAAGAGCAAGAGGCTGAACCAGGAATCAACAGCACAGCGTTGAAGAAGAGCCCAAGACCGTGGGATTCACAGCAGGGTTTACAGAAACCTCCTCACACTACTGCAGGACTTAGATAGAGAAGGGGAAGCTTCCAGATTCATCCTTCAAAGTGTATCACCCCGATACCAAAACCAGATAAGGAAAAGGAAATGACCAGCCAATTTCCTTGATGAACACAGACACAAAATTTCTTTTTTTTTTCAAGCATATAGAGCAGGGTTTATTTAAAAAGGGGGCCACACAGACTTCTCCCGGGAGGGAGCTCCTCCTGAGGCCCAGCCTCAGCCCACCAGCCTCTATGTGTCTTAGACTCCTTTATTCTCCTGCTCTCTGCCCCCTGACCTCTCTCCTGTGACCTGTGACCAGGCCCGGGGGATGCTGGGGGGGTGGCCCAAAGCTGGGCCGAAGGGGCTGGTGGGGGGAGTGATCTGGGCAGGAAG